GTATTTATTCGTCAGCGCTCAGTGTTAGAGGCTATCAATGAGCAGTGAGTACAAATGGTTTATTTATAATCTATTTATGTATTTATAAATTTCTTTTAGATTTGGAATTCTCCAATGGAGCCCTAGCACCAAAAGTTGCGACTTGGCCTTGACAATGCAAACGCAATTATAAAAAAAAAATCGGGATAAGATAAAGAAACACATTTTTTTAAATTATGTTTAAATCTATACACACAACAAATATATATGGGAAATTACAAAAATCTTTTAAATTCCTTGAAACTGAGGTTTGCAAGGTTATAAAACGCAAAATATGAACATATTGCATATAATTTAAATTAATTTCTATAAAATGAAGTGTTTTTGTCAAACTCTTAAAATATTGGTAATAAATAATAAGTTGCGTGAAAGCTGTGATGGTGGTAATGTAAAAATATGGGTAAAAATGTGTTGAAGCCAACCAGTTTTTTTTTTGTGCTCCTTCCTGATTTGTGGCTAAACTATACGACGCACGTACATGTGATCAGTGACTATGTTGCAGAATACCCCAAGGACAATGGATCCACCCAAAATGGATGCTGACATTTTGAAGCCGGATTTTCGGTGTTTTTTGAATTTTTTTATAATTAGGATGCGCATCCAGATAATGAACTAAACTGATTATACGATTGTAGAACTCGTGATTTTCCTTCACCGTAGCGTCTTTGCAATTGGGTTCCAAAGACGAAAATTTGGTGCGTAAATTTTTATAAAAAAAAACATATATTTTGAGTCTAAAACTAAGAAAGTCCATTCAAATTCCGTGGAACCTGCGTGATTTTAGTTTTTTACGTGCCGGATCTAATGAGCCCATTCATGTTCAATTCCGCCCAATAAAACGGCTGATATAGGTACCTTGAATGTGGGAAAAACTGCAAAAACTTATTTTGACAAATTCGCGTATATAATCGCGTTTTTCTTCGAATTGATTTCACATACATTCATTTTTGTGTTATCATATTTGTCAAAAATATATCGATATAATAATAATATGCGTATTTTATCCAAAATCGATTGTGGAGGCACATCCGCGGTTCTTCACCGATCATTTTAAAATAGGTGTCCTTTTGTGTATTTTCATATGAGATTACTGAAATCTGATGCGCATAAAAATCGTATGCACGTTGCGTGATTTTTAGCCATTTTTAGGGTTTTTGCATGGTAAAGTGCATCGAGCGGCACATTTTGGCCGCTTAATGAAACCTCGAAAAAATGCATAATTATTGGAAGAGATTTATTCGGTTTATTAGAAACCCGCATTCGCATCGCTTTTTAATGTTGATCATTTGCATATACTTTCATATATATATATACTTTCATATACTGTAACTGCAATATAGGTGGCGTAGGGGATGATAGATACCAAGCAACGGCTCTGATTGGCTTTAACATGGCGAAGTCCAGGCTTATCTTGGTCCCTCTTTCATCTCAATTGTGGACACTGACCTCCGCGGTGCCTCCTGGGGAGCTATTCTCATCACCCGATGAAATAGTGAGCTAATATGTGCCGCGAGTTCACCCATAAGAACTATAATAAAATGGGTTGAGGCGTCGGGTTAGTTCCCCACTCTCGGAAAACCGAACCCACTATGAAAAAGCTAAGAAAAAGAAAAAAAGTTCGCTTTGGCGGATATACTCAAGAAGTACAAAGCCGATTTATTGCCTTACAGGAAATGCGATGGAAAGGGACAGGCGTAAGTAAATCAGACGATTACGCTGCCAAGAAACGATACATGAATTTGGCTGCGGATTTATGGTTAATAGGAGAATAAAAGACCTTGTCTCCAGATTCACTCCAGTAGATGAGCGAATTGCTATAATCCGTAAAAAGCGAAGTTCTTTTACATCAGTCTAATTTGCGCCCATGCTCCGACCGAAGAAAAAGATGAACAGACCAAAGACATATTTTACGAGCGCCTAGAAACAGCATATGACCGTTGCCCTGGCCATGACATTAAAATCCTGCTAGGAGATTTTAATGCAAAAATCGGAAGGGAAAATATCTTTGGCCCCACCGTCGGAAAATTCAGCCTTAATGAAGAAACATCCGACAACGGCATGAGGTTGATTGATTTCGCGGCAGCAAAAAACATGGTAGTTAGCAGCACCAGATTCAAGCATCTCGATATACACAAGGCCACCTGGATCTCTCCTAATCAAGTAACGAGAAATCAAATTGATCATGTTGTGATAGACGGAAGGCATTCATCCAGTGTTTTAGACGTCCGATCGATCCGAGGAGCGTATATCGATTCGGACCATTACCTTGTAGCAGCCAAGGTTCGCAGTCGTCTTAATGTTGCAGCAAAGGTGCGATCTAACACAACACAGAAACTTGACGTCGAAAAGCTGCAAACACAACAGGTAGCCGAGGCCTACTCCGCTCAACTTACCCATCTGCTTGAAGAAAGCACTTCTTGTCCCGATAATAGTATAGAAGCACAATGGCAAAGAATTGCTCACTCCCTACAAACTGCAGCAAAAAGAACAATTGGGTATCAAAAATTACCACCAAGAAACCCATGGTACGATCAGGAGTGTCGTAATGCTACTGATGTGAAAAACGCAGCGTATATGGCAACCCTGCAGACCATAGCAAAATATAACCTGATGGAGAATTATCGGGAGAAATGGAGAGAGGAGAAACGTGTTTTCAGAAAAAAGATGAAAGAACAAGAAAAACGTGAGCGTGAGCAAATGGAGATGTACAGGAGTCAGAATGAAGTCCGGAAATTTTGCAAACGAGTAAAACACCAAACCGAAGGCTTTGGTGCAGGCACATCCTCCTCCTGTAGAGATGAAGAAGGAAACCTGGTGACAGATACAGACAGCGTGTTGAGGATCTGGAAGGAGCATTTCGAAAAGCTTCTAGTATCAAATAGTGGCGATGAAGAAGATACCCCAGAACCAATAAGAGATGATGGTATAGAGTGTATACCACCTAGCCAAGATGATGCCATAAAAGCAATTAATCGGCTCAAGAACAACAAAGCAGCAGGAGCCGATGGGTTACCAGCCGAACTATTCAAGACTGGTGGCCAGATGCTGGTCAGGAGCATGCAACAGCTGATTAGCACAATTTGGCTAGATGAATGCATGCCCAATGATTGGAACCTCAGCATCCTGTGTCCCGTGCACAAAAAAAGGAGCCAAGACGATATGTGCCAACTATAGAGGAATAAGTCTCCTTCCCATCGCATATAAAGTGCTATCTAGTGTGCTGTGCCGCATTCGACAGCCCTATCCGTTCAGAGGTTTTTAAAGCCATGTCTGCGTTCGACATTCCTGCAAAATAAATACGGCTATGCAGGATAACTTTAAGTGGCACAAGGTCAGCAGTTAAAATAGGAAAGGACCTATCGGAGCCCTTCAATACCGAACGAGGATTCAGACAAGGTGACAGTTTGTCGTGTGATCTTTTTAACATCCTACTGCAAAAGGTCATACGAGACGCAAAGGTGAACAGAAATGGCACCCTGTACTCCAAACAACACATGTTACTCGCCTACGCCGATGACATCGATATAATGGGTCGAACATTGCGCGCGGTTACAGCCACCTTTGTACAAATTGATTGAACAAATTGCCAAAGTGGGTCTGGCTGTAAACGGCGAGAAGATCAAGCTGATGGTATCAACGCGCAAGACGTCCAGTAGACTCGGACCAACTGTGGAACTTGAGAACTACAGCTTCGAGGTAGATAAAGACTTTATATACCTTGGTACCGCCATAAATAAAACGAATGACATCAGTTTTGAAATTCGGAGAAGGATTGTGATGGCCAACAGATGATACTATGGTTTAAGTAAGCAGTTTAGAAACAAGGCCACCTCCCGCCAGACCAAACTCACACTTTACAAGACGCTGATACTACCCGTGCTATTATATGCATCAGAAGCATGGGTACTTGCGCAAGCAGATGAGGCAGCTCTTGGGGTGTTTGAGAGAAAAATTCTCCGAAAGATCTACGGGCCGATCTGCGTCGACGGTGAATATCGACGTCGAATGAACCACGAGTTTTACAATTTATACGCGGACATCGACATAGTCAGTCGTATTGAGCTGCAGCGACTACGGTGGCTAGGCCGTGTTGTGCGGATGAATGAAAATGTCCCAGCTCAAAAGGCATATAAAAATGAGCCTACTGATGGTTCCCGTAGAAGGGGAAGGCCACGAATTAGATGGAAGAAAGAAAACAACATCTTGGAACGTGGTCTTCCTGGACTTGCGCACAAGGCCGACGCGCTTGGAAATGAATGTTGAAATGTAATAAAAGTAAGACTTCTATGATGTGTAATTCAACTTTCAATAACGTGAACATGCAGTGAACTCTCGATAATTTCAACTAATTAATGTCGAGGTCGTTCATATTTTCGATTCGATCAGCTTGTTTACCGCTAATTCCCTGATTTTTTCAATACTTTTATGTAAGTTTGAGCATTCACACATAATCGAGAGTTCTCTGTATTAAAAACGATCGCGATTATGTCTATTGAAAAAAAATATTCTTTAAAAAATTTACACTTATGGCTGTTGAAAAAATATATATTCCACGCCACGGACTATGTTATTTATTTAATGTAACGTTTTTTTATTAATATGCATTGTGGTTTTTATAATGTCTATGTATAATTTTACACAAAATCTTTCATGGGTTTATTATGGGTTATTAAAGGTTAGAATTATATTTAGATTTGTATCCATTAAAAAAAATAAATTTTTCGAATACGGATAACCCAATTTTGTTTTTACAGGATCGGCAACTGAGAGATTTCCATTTTCACTTAGCATATTAAGGGACAAGACCTAAAATGTTTTCTCGGCAAGTCGTTGGCGAGGTTTATTAATAAACACCTCCGCTGTAAATCATGTTATATTACATTGTATGCTTATTTATCCGCTGTAATTAGTTTTCAGTAAGGCCTTCGATAAAAATGACGTTTTTATTTCAAAAGATCGTAATGCTGGTGGCATTTTTACTGCAAGCGAAGAAATTTCAAAGTGTGCAATTGACAGTTGGTGAAAAATGTCCCTACAAGGATACCATTGATCTCAGTGATAAAATGCCACTCATCAACGGTTCCTATATATATGAGAATGTGTTGATTCCTAGAGACCAAGTCGCGGAATATAAATATCGTTTATTTTTCGCCGATAATGCCCTCGAAGCGGAAGGTCATTTACGTGGTTGCGTTTGTGGTAGACCAAAGAGATGTGTAAAGATGTGTTGCGAGCGTGAAGAGTTCTTTAACGAGGACACACTTGCATGCGAACGGATACCCGAATATATGGAAATACCCGATCTCATAAGTATCACCATGTTTAATGGTGAGCAAAAATTAATAAACGTATATTCACATTTTTTACTACAACGCGGTAAGCCATGTAAATATCTGGAGTTTTTGAATGCCGAAACAGATGTATGGGAATTATTGGAGGTGGGTGTTTATTTTTTTAAGTGGATTTTTCGATCGTACTTCCCTACTATAATTGACGGTTTAATAAAGTATGATTTTTAAAAGTGTATTTTAGAATTTCCAAAAAACGATATTTAATGGGAAAAGCTTGCTATTTTTGCAATATATTCCAAAATATTGTAGGAAAAAAGTATTTTTTGAATTTTTAGGCAAACGTAAATTATATAAAAATAATTTTTAGAAATACGTACATTTTTATACCCGTCATCACACTGTGGTACAGGATATTATGTTTTTGTGCATATGTTTGTAACAGGCAAAAGGAAACGAGATAGATCCTTTGAGAATGTAAATAGAATCACTTTCTGAGTCGATTTATGCATGTCCGTCCGTTTGTTCGTCTTTTAGTGTTAAATTGTAAACAAAGTACAGGTCGCACATATAATTTGATGAAATTTAGCACAGCTCATTTATTTGGCCCAAGGAAGAACCCTATTGAAATTGGAAAAAATCGGATCAGATTTAGATATAGCTGCCATATATATTTTAGTCCGATTTAATGTAAATGGTGCACCAAATTCCCTAAATATCTTTCGATTTAAACGAAATTTGGCATAACGTACTAAATTGAACCTAGAGTGATGTCTGCCAAGTTTCGTGAAAATCAGTCCAGATTTAGATATAGCTGCCGATTTTATTTAAATGGTGCACCAAAGCCTCTAAATATCTTACGATTTGAAGGAAATTTGACATAACGTGTAAATTGAGCCTAGAGTAATGTCTGCCAAGTTTCGAGAAAATCGGTCCAGATTTAGATATAGCTCACATATAGTGTCGGCCGATTTTATGTAAATGGTGCACCAAAGCCCCTAAACATCTTTCGATTTGAACGAAATTTGGCATAACGTGTAAATTGAGCCTAGATTGATGTCTGCCAAGTTTCGTAAAAATCGGTTCGTATTTAGATATAGCTCTCATATATAGTGTCGGCCTATTTTATGTAAATGGTGCACCAAAGTCCCTAAATATCTTTTGATTTTGGCATAACGTACTGAATTGAGTCTGGGATGATATGTGCTGAGTTTCATGTAAATCGGTCCAGATTTAGATATAGCTCCCATATATAGTGTCGGCCGATTTAGTGTAAATGGTGCACCAAAGACCCTATATATCTTTCGATTTGTACGGAATTTAGCATAGTATACTGAATTGAGCCTAGAGTGATGTCTGCCAAGTTTCATAAAAATCGGTCCAGATCTACATATATAGTGTCGACCGATTTAATGTAAATGGTGCACTAAAGTCCCTATATATCTTTCGTTTTTGGCATAACGTACTGAATTGAGCCTAGAGTGATGTGTGCCAAGTTTCGTGAAAATCGGTCCATATTTAGATATAGCTCCCATATATAGTGTCGGCCGATTTAATGTAAATGGTGTACCAAAGTCTCTAAATATCTTTCGATTTCAACGAAATTTGGCATAACGTACTGAATTGAGCCTAGAATGATGTCTGCCAAGTTTCGTGAAAATCGGTCCAAATATAGATATAGCTCCAATATATAGTTTCGTCCGATTTATTGTAAATGGTGCACCAAAGTCCCTAAATACCTTTCGATTTGTACGGAATTTAGCATAGTATACTGATTTGAGCCTAGAGTGATGTCTGCCAAGTTCCGTGAAAATCGGTCCATATTTAGATATAGCTCCCATATATAGTGTCGGCCGATTTTATGTAAATGTTGCACCAAAGTCCCCATATATCTTTTGTTTTTGGCATAACGCACTGATGTGTGCAGAGTTTCCTGAAAATCGGTTCAGATCAAGATGTATATATTTTCGTCCGATTTAATGTAAATAATGTACCTGAGTTATTATATTGCAAAGCGTACTGAATGAAGTCCAGAGTGATGTGTCAAGTTTCTTGAAAATCGGTTGAGATTAAGATATATCTCCCTTATATATTATCGATTGATTTTAAGTAATTGACGCACCAAGGAACCAATATATGACTGATAGGAACGAAACATACTGAAATTAGTATAACCTAACCTGTGAATAGTTTCATTGAAATCGGTTGATATTTGTATATAGCTTTCATATATATATTCGTGCGATTTTAAGTAAATGGTGCATAAAACTCCTCATGTTTGTCAGATTGACATGAAATTTTGAGCAGCGTACAAAATTGAAAATAGAATAACGATGTTGTGTTTTCTAGAAGTACAGACATATCCGAATGGATGCTACACATTCCTTACTGGTTAATATAGCGTAGATTCAGTTCATACCAATGTTTTGACAGATAATTAATTAAAATATATATTTCTGATTTTCCTATAAAGCTTGAATATATTGAGGATCTTAAAAAGCTTCTCTAAAATCGCGGTTTTCTGACCCGCTCGACTTTGGATTTGTATTTAAAAGTTTTTTGTTTCATTTCCAGAATGGAGACCTGTATATTCAAAGTAATGACGTTGTAATCGACACGGTAAGCTATTGCATTTCGCCATATCGTTTAGACGAAACTGAGGATTTCCAACTGATGGCCATGAGTTGTCCGATTCCAAGTGAAAGAAAGTTTGTTTTGATCTTAAACACATATGGTAAGACTTGATATGTGTATATTAAAAATATTAAAAAAACAACAATTTTTAATTTTTAAGTAGTAAGAATTTAAAGTCAAAGCCGAACTATAAAATGTCTATAGTGTAAATTTTATTCAAATATAATAATAAATTTATAATTATACCCTACACAACTATGTTGTCAGGGTATTATAGTTTTGTGCAGCCCCAAGAGTTTGTAACTTCGCGAAATTTTGGTCCCAGACCCACCTTTAAGTATACCGATCGTCATATTTCGACTAGCTGAGTCGATCTATACATGTGTGTCCGTCCGTCTGTCCATTATAATTTGTAAACCCGATACAGGCCACAGCTATGGACCATTCTTCACGAAATTTTGCATGTAGGATGGGTTCTGCCCAATGAAGACCCCTATTGTTTTTGGTAATGATCGGTTTATGTTTAGGGATGGAATGGAGAAATTCTTTATTTTTCTCGTTCTTTCTGGTCGCTCTAGAGGCCGCAATTATGGCCCAAACACCGAATTTTTAGATGGAGAAGGGGATTGGGCCAAAGAATAAGGATGCCTGTTTTGATAAAGATCGGTCAATATTTACCGGGTCAAATGGACCCTGACTTTTGTGTAAAAAATGACAAAATTTTAATTCTATGACGCATATATTTACCCCTGAAGGATATGGACCCGAGAAGTTGATAACATATCCAAGAGGATTGGTTGACCTTTAAATTGATACCAATTATATTGTCATATGTACTCGGATGTGGGAGCTACAGGTGCTTACGTATTCATTTATTATTTAGTATCCCCTTACCACAGTTCTGGTCAAGGACTAAGCCTATAAAAGTTATAGTAGTATCCTATTCCAGTTATGGTCAAGGACAAAGCCTATAAATTTCGGCGATGATCAGATAATAATGTTGGGATGAAGTCGAACGAAAACTTATTTCTTTGAGTTTTTTTTTATTCGATCTATAGGCTACAATTATAAGCCAAACCTCACAACACAACATACGGTGAAGGGAGTATGGACAAGTAATTAGAAGGGCTGTACTAAATATTGGTAATATTCGAAAATTATGTCAGTGTAATGAAGAAGTGCTGTTGACCTCTAATCGGGCAAGAGGATTCAACTATCTCGAAATATTACACAGGCTCGGAATAAAAACCCGCATAAAGACAGAGTTCTGTGGTAGTTGTGTAGGGTATCGTATGGTCGGCCCCGTCCGACTATACTGCTACACTCACTGGTTATAATTTAATTTCTATGTTTTAGAATTACAATTATGTATTGTTGCAATATACTTAATTTGTGTCAATTATTTTGATTTTTCTTATATATCTATAGCTATGGGAATATCAGTCGTTTTCCTAGTACCGACCATTCTAATCTATTTATTTGTTGGCAATCTGAGTAAAAATATTCGAGGCAAACAATTGATTTGCTATTTAATCTCGCTGATTGGACCATATTCGATATTTAGTTTTATAAATATTTCGGAATATGTATTTGAAGATTTTACATGCAAACTACTTGGTAAGTAATGTACAATTACAATAAACCAAAGGCTGTAGTCGGATGGAATAGACAGACATTGATTTGATAACTACGATTTGAATTTTTTTTGCGATTTTCGGTTAAAAGTTGAAAAGGACCGTTAAAACATACGGAAATCGATTTGTTGTCTATGAGGCCTACAAATAAAATCCTATGAGCTACATTTTCGTCTTGTGGCATTTAGTTTACGATTTAAAAAAATAAGGGAAAAAAATGCCTCAAAAATGTATTCCCTTCAATAAATTTTTTCCTAGAAGACCAATATATATTTTCATAGACGACCAACACGACATCTCATAGAAACAATGGATTTTCCCACAGAAGACCAATGAACCTTCTCACAGGCTAAGGGGTCCCCAGAAAAAAGAGGAATGGGTCTTCACATATGTGACCAATGGGTTACCTCATAGAATACCAATAGGTCGTCTCACAGAAGAGCAATATGTCTTAACTTCTCAATGGAGACCAATAGGTCTTCTCATATATGACCAATAAGTATTCTCATAGAAGACCAATATGTTTACTCAACAAAAATATCCCATGGGTATTCTCATAGAACCAATTTGACCAATGGACCTTCTAATAGAATACTAATGGATTTTCTCACTGAAGACTAATGGCCCCTTCTCATAGAAGGCCTATGGGTCTTCTCATAAAAAGCTCTTCTCATAAAAAGCTCTTCTCATAAAAGACTAAATAGATCGACCAGCCGGAACATAATATTTTCATAACACCTTTATGTTCATATTTTTAGGTATCTGCTGTTATTTCTTTTTTATCTCAGCCTATTTATGGCTATCGGTTTTATGTATCGACAATTGGATTCACTTTAAAGATGTCAATAAAGAATTTTCAAGAACTAAGCAAATGAAACGTTTCTGTTTCTATTCGTTATATGCCTGGGGTACTGCCCTGGCATTTACAACGATCGTAATATGGGCTGATTGGTCGGATACGGTACCGGAAAATTTAAAACCTGGCGTGGGCACTGATGCCTGTTGGTTAGACAGTAAGTTGATTTTTTGAATACTATCGCTTTTGAATTACAATTTTGTATTTATTTCTTCTTTTCTTTGCAGCAAATATGTGGTCTTCGGCCATCTATTTTTATGGGCCAAATCTTTTAATTATTTTGTCGAACATTGCAATATTTTTGCGTTTATCATTCTACATATATAGGGTACAAAGTGATGTTGCCAGTATGACAGTTAATAGAACATTCTTTAAACAATAGTAAGTAATGATATACATTAATAATATACATTTATTAATGATTATGTTGGGTTCATTTTGTGGTTATTAACCTCAAATTACATTTCTCCTTAAACCTTGGAGCCGCGATTATTTTCTTTGTCCCTGCAATACCAACAAATAATTCTCATATTTTTTCAATAATTTCAGTTGTATGATAATTTTACGCCTTTTCATTATAATGGGCATATCCTGGACAATGGATATATTGTCCTTTTGCTTTAAAGATTATAAAGTAGCGGAGTATCTATTTATGGCAACTGATTTCTGCAATGCCATACAAGGTCTATTAATTTTTATATTATTTGTTCTGAAACCTAGCGTTATAAAAGCGATGCAAAGGAGGTGAGCTTATATATACATACATATGTCTAATGAAAATAAATAATTAAATTTTATTTTCTTTATTTCAGTTGTACTTGTGGAAAGTTTGCGCGACTAAATTCCAAAGAAGGAACCACAACCCATCATTTGGACTATATTCCAAGGAATGAGCCATAGAATTGATATTAGTGTAAAACGGATCTCGCCACTGATCCTCATCAGTTCCCTTAGTTTTTTTGTTGGGATATTTACAAAAAACCTTTCAAACCCAAATGTCTCTTGTGACAATTCGAAGTTCGTACGTTACCAGCGATACGACCCCAATGAGAAGTTCGTTTCGTTGGCGCCTGACTTCGTGGTCAACAAGGCATTTACAAAAACTAAGGGAACTGATGAGGATCAGTGGCGAGATCCGAAACTATAGTCTTCCCTGCCTTACCCCTCGGCGGACAATGCCATACATTCCCCACTAATAAATAGTTGTTTTTTATAAAAACAACAAACTGGGATTAAGCCTGACTATTTTGCAAAAACAAAATATTTACAACAAAAATAGTAGAGTTACATTAAATGTCAACAGCTGGCTGGCTGCCCAGACCACCAAAATGTAAAACCTACAATTTTGAAATAATGCTCTAGAGCCTCACACAAGTATGCAAATATGTTTCTTTGTATATGGGTCTACTAAAAATATGTATTATAATGAAATTATTTGAGATAAATCATAAAATGTTTATTTCACTATAAATATCTGTTAATAATAAAAAACGATTAATCCAATGGCCACCACGACTTTATTTATAAAATTTTGCACATTATGGCTCTTCTATATCCTTGAGAGTCCTTACGAGTTCTATATTTGAGGTCTTGAATAAAAACTAGGCTTTTAATGGTCCCTAAGGAAGAAGTCGTAAGGGGGGGAGTTGATGTAGTCAACTAACAAGTCGGTATTCTGTATACAGTATGTTTTCATGATATTTTAGGAATTTACACGCGGATCGATTTTAAAACACTTTTTTAATAGATTTGTATTGATTTGTTGACAGAGTATAGTTTTAAACATATTAGAAAATATAGAAAATAAGACTTAAACAATCATAATTTTTTAAATTTATTCATTTTTATTCAAGAACCAGAAAAATTTAAATTTTTATAACCTACACAACTATGTTGTCAGGGTATTATAGCTTTGTGCAGCCCCAAGAGTTTGTAACGCGAAATATTGGTCCTAGACCTACCTTTAAGTATACCGATCGTCATATCTCGACTAGCTGAGTCGATGTGTGTCCGTCTGTCTGTCCATTATAATTTGTAAAAACGATACAGGCCCCAGTTATGGACCAATCATCCCGAAATTTTGCATGTAAGATGGGTTCTGGCCAATGGAGACTGCTATTGTTTTTGGTAAAGATCGGCTAATATTTAGGGTCAAGGACAACGCCTATAATTTTCGGTGATGATCAGATAATTATTTAGGAATGAAGTAGACCGAAAACATATTTTTTGTGTTTTTTCGAGTCGATCTGTAGACCACAATTGAAAGCCGAACATTACAACACAACCAATGGTGAAGGGAATATGGACAAGTAATTAGAAAGGCTGTACTGAATATTAGTAATATTTGTTGACCTATAGTCAGTCAAGAGGGTCAACAAATTGAACCACACAAAGTAAGATTTTGGTGGAAGTTGTGTAGGGTATCATATGGTCGGCCCCGTCCGACTATACTGCTCCCCTCACTGGTTTAAATGTTATTTTCTTCGAAAACAAACAGACTTGAATTTCTTAAAGTTCATGTTTTTAAGCAACGACATTTTTTTCAAGGATCAGAACAATCGTATATTTTTTAAATAATATTTTTCAAGAACCCGAACAAACATTGAGATTTTCAAAAGTATATATTTCAAAAACCAAAAAGGCGTGTAAATTTAAAAAAAAAAAAAATTGTCTGTGTCCAAAAATTGTATTGATTTTTTAAAACATATTTTTAAGGACCAATAAGCGTATGTAGTACTACAAAGAAGTTTTTCATTCTCTGAGAAAACCGAATGGACAAATTACTGTCACATCGATTTTTCCATTAGCAAGGACATTTTCAATAGTCACAATCTCAATAGAATTGTCGTAAGAACTCAAATATATTTTTTTCGTCGAGCTAATCCGAATTCATTAGTATAATTATGCCCATGGCTGCATTTGCTAATTTTCGCCTTTGTCATCAAATGTTCTTATAAAACTGTATGCTGATAACGAATAGTCCAATATGTCACATATTAAAATATAAAATATTAATTAAATCAAACAATACAATTATTATTATTATTTATGTACAGTATAAACTCGATAATCCGGATTATTCGCAATATTCTATTCGGCAAATATTGAAAAATGAGCTCGGAGTAAAGTCATTGCAATTCCAAAAAGTGCAAGAACTCACACCGCAACCGAAAGAAAATAGACTCAAAAAAGCTAAAGAGTTGCCGAATGTTGTTTTCTCCGATGAAAAACTTTCGTTGTCCAGCAGTTCGTAAACAAACAAAATTATCGTGTTTACTTGCCAAAGAGGTCAGCTGAAAATGTGGACCTTCGGTTGGCCACCAGAACTCAAGTGCCGGCCGTTGCCGGTGATGGTGTGCGCCGGTATAACAGCCGATGGTCGCTCTCCAATCTTATTAATCGACCGTGGCATCAGAATAAATGCCGAATATTATCGCGAAAATATTCTGGGGTGTATTAAGGCCTTGAGTCACATTCGTCTACCCTCTCCAATACTGCCCAATACACTCTACTTTCATTACCCACAATATTAATGTTATTATGGTTATCTAAACTTTTTATTTAAATTGTAAATCTCTTGATGTTTATCTTAATTCAAACTCTCTTATTTAATCTCTCTCTCAAATCTCTTAAATGTTCTCTTCTGCTCGACAATCGTCTCTTTAATAATTTATTGATAATAAATAAGTATAAATGATGAAGTTTAGAGCAGAAGAGGAGAGTTGTAATTTAGTCTTAGTTAAGCTAGTATCAAATTGAATTTCTTCCGTATTAAAATTAAAAATAAAAATATAATAAGAAATAATAAATATATTAAACAGACTTTTTGTTTTATTAAATAATAATTTTAAAATGTTTTATCAACAAGAATAAAACAAAACTCTTGGGGACGGACGCAAATATTTTGGCCACAGACCATGGAAATTCCAACAGGACTCAGCACGCGCCACCCAAGAATGGTTACAAAATGAGGTTCCTCGCTTCATTTCCATCGCACAATGGCCACCAAAATCTCCGGATACCAATCCGTTGGACTATTGTGTCTGGAGTATTTTGGAATGCAAGGTTGGCACTAAAAAAATACCAAAGTTTCGATCACCTCAAGCAAGCGCTCGCCGGGAATGGACCAAAATACCACAGAGCAACATTCAGGCAGCGTGTGACTGTTTTTTTATTGGCCGTTTGAAGGCCATAATTCGTGTCAAAGGTGACCAATTCGAACAAATCTAAACTTATTCTAAAATTTGACGCTATTTCCGGCATTTCTTGCTTTCAATCAATAAAAAAAAGAAATAATACAAATTATGGCGTTTGACTTTGTTGCAGTTTTTTTTATCTCACCCTGTATTTGATATTATTGACTTATATATGAAGAATAAAAATCTCGTTTAAATTTTTAAGAAGAACTGTCTCCATTGCCAGATGGTTTTATATCCTCAAGAGTTTGTGATATTTTTACTTGGAATTTTAAAACGATAGTCTTCGGTCCACATTTTGTGTAGCACTTAAATAAGAAAGTGTATAAAAATATTAAAGAACATATTCTTAACAAAAATCACCCTGCAATCGAACGTTGGTGCTTGAAAAAAATATACTATAAAAACTCCATGTATATTTTGGTGCTTAAAAAATATTAGCTAAAAAATCACGCTTACAATGGTCCCTGAACACGGTGTTTTTCAAAAAATCCACATTGGTATTGGTCTTTGAATAAATGGTGTTTAACAAAATTTACGCTTGTGAATTAAAAAAGGGTTTAAATTCTAAGATTCTAGCTACAGCCGTTTCATCTGGCTGTTTCTAAATAACTAAGTCTGTCAAGTGAGTCAGTCCATCACTTATGAAATGTTTACTGTTTTTTTTATAAATTTCTTAATCTATATGAGAATTCGAATGTATTTCAAAATTTGCGACTTATCGTATAGGGTATACGATATAATTTAAAATTATCAACATTATACAAATAGACATATAAATATGTATTTAATTTTATACAATTGAAAACCAAACCAACCACAAACGCAAGATTACATTTGCTCTCTAACATCGATTGTTTCATTATTTAGTCATGTTCTCGATCAACAAGTAATAGTCAGCGGAAGGATATACAATTTCTGTTTTTTTTTTTTAAATATGGCATCACAATTATTATTTAAATTTATTGTGACTCTCTCAATTCTAACGGGATATTTAAAATGCGAAGAAATTGCCCAAATAAAACCCGGTGAAATATGTCTCTATCGCGACACGGTCGATTTAAGTGATGAAACACCTTATGAAAATGGTTCATATTTGTATTCGAATGTGTTAATACCATCGACCCAGGTGCAGGAATACAACTATCGCTTGGAATTTCGAAATATGGAAAAGGAAGCTGAACCCCATTTACGTGGCTGTGTGTGTGGTTGGAATGGGGGTAAAAAATGTGTGAAATTATGTTGTCGACATGGTGAATTTTATAATGAAATTATCGCTGAATGTGAACCAATACCGGATGATATGAATATTCCGCTTAATATTAACATGACTATGGATACGGATGAGGAGAAAGTCATCAACTTGTATCGGGAATTTATACCACTTGTTGGTAGGCCGTGTCCTAATGCGGAAAGTCTTACACAGGCACTTGATATGTGGAAATTGAATGAGGTGGGTAATAACATGAAATGTATTTCGAATAGAAAAATTAAATTAAAAAATCCACGCCTTTATTTGGTCATTCAAACGATTCTTTACCATCGTTCTTTACTATCCTTGAAAATATTCTTTACTAAAAAATAAATAGTCCCTAAAAAATATTCTTTAAGAAATCCCCGCCTTTGGTAGTCCTTGAAAAAATATTCGTTTAGAAATCCTTTGATAGTCCATAAAAAAATATTCTTTAGAAAAACACGCTTTTGGCAGTCCACAAAAATATATATTTTTTAAAATTCTACGCCCACATTCTCCAACAAATCCCCGCCTTTGATAGTCCTTAAAAAATATTCTTTAAGAAATCCCCGCCGTTGATAGTCCTTGAAAAATATTCTTTAAAAAATCCCCGCCGTTGATAGTCCTTGAAAAATATTCTTTAAAAATCCACGCCTATTGACAGTCCTTGAAAAATATTCTTTAAAAATCCACGCCTATTGACAGTCCTTGAAAAAATATTCTTTAAAAATCCACGCCTATTGACAGTCCTTGAAAAAATATTCTTTAAAAATCCACGCCTATTGACAGTCCTTGAAAAAATATTCTTTAAAAATCCACGCCTATTGACAGTCCTTGAAAAAATATTCTTTAAAAATCCACGCCTATTGACAGTCCTTGAAAAAATATTCTTTAAAAATCCACGCCTATTGACAGTCCTTGAAAAAATATTCTTTAAAAATCCACGCCTATTGACAGTCCTTGAAAAAATATTCTTTAAGAAATCCACGCCTTTGACAGTCCTTGAAAAAATATTCTTTAAGAAATCCACGCCTATTGACAGTCCTTGAAAAATATTCTTTAAAAAATCCACGCCTATTGACAGTCCTTGAAAAATATTCTTTCAGAAATCCCCGCCTTTGATAGTCCTTGAAAAATATTCTTTCAGAAATCCCCGCCTATTGATATTCAGAAATCCTATGAAAAAGTCCTTGAAAAATATTCTTAAAAAATCCACGATTGACAGTCCTTGAAAAATATTCTTTAAAGTAACCACGCCTTTGATAGTCCTTGAAAAATATTCTTTAAAAAATCCACGCCCATTGACAGTCCTTGAAAAATATACTTTAAAAAATCCACGCCTATTGACAGTCCTTGAAAAATATTCCTTAAAAAATCCACGCCTATTGACAGTCCTTGAAAAATATTCTTTAAAAAATCACGCCTATTGACAGTCCTTGAAAAATATTCCTTAAAAAATCCACGCCTATTGACAGTCCTTGAAAAATATTCTTTAAAAAATCCACGCCTATTGACAGTCCTTGAAAAAATACGCCTATTGACAGTCCTTTATTTTGACAGTTTAAAAATCCACGCCTATTGACAGTCCTTGAAAAAATATTCTTTAAAAATCCACGCCTATTGACAGTCCTTGAAAAAATATTCTTTAAAAATCCACGCCTATTGACAGTCCTTGAAAAATATTCTTTAAAAAATCCACTCCTATTGACAGTCCTTGAAAAATATTCTTTAAAAAATCCACGCCTATTGACAGTCCTTGAAAAATATTCTTTAAAAAATCCACGCCTATTGACAGTCCTTGAAAAATAATCTTTAAAATCTACGCCTTGTTTTGGTCCTTGAAAAAAATATTCTTTAAAAAATTAACGTCTTGTGTTGGTCCTTGAAAAAATATTATTTAAAAGCATACGCCATGTTGTGGTTCTTGAAAAATGTTCTTTAAAAAATCCACGCCTTGTGTTTGTCCTTGAAAAAGTGTTGGTCCTTGAAAAAGTATACACGTCTTAAATTTTTTTACAATTTTTTTTTTCACTTTTTTTAGGACGGCACAGTTTACGTTTTCAATGACGACGCCTTATTAGATACCGTCAGCTATTGCCTATCGCCATATCTTTATAATGGATCCAATGAATATGTCCTGGTGGCTGTGAGTTGCCCCATGAAAAATGAAGGAGGCTTTTTTCTCACTTTCAACACATACGGTAATACGACTTCGATCAATACCATTTCATTTCATGCTAAAAAGTAATTTTGAAATTTGATTTCATTTTTTGTGATAGCCATGGCAATATCGGTGGTATTTTTAGTACCCACTGTTCTCATCTATTTATGCGTTCGAGAGCTGAGAGGCAATTTGCGCGGAAAACTGCTCATTTGCTATTTGATCTCACTGATTGGTGGATATTCAATTATTAGTTTTATAAATATCTCGGAATATGTATTGGATGCTATACCATGTAAAATACTTGGTGAGTATTAAAAACAGAAATAATTTTGATTCACTCAATTTAATATTTTTCTCAAAAAAAAAATAAATAAATAAATAAAATCCAAAGAACATGCCTAATGGCTGAATTATTCGAAACGGGCAATTACATTTGCTTTTTTTGGTCAATGAACTGTAGATAAAACTATTGGAGAATAATATATGTGCTTAATTTCAAATTATCTTCCGTACAGGATTCACATGTTATTTTTCATTTATGTCGGCTTTCCTGTGGCTGAACGTTTTATGTTTCGATATATGGCTGAATTTTAAGGATCACAGTGTGGATTTCTCACGTCAACGGCATAAATATAGATTTTACTACTATTCATTGTATGTATGGGGTTCAGCCATGGTGCTGATGGGACTCACAATGTGGTCACAGTCATCAGATTTAGTACCGAAAATTTATAAGCCAGGAATTGGTGATGATATATGCTGGTTGGATAGTAAGTTAAGACCAAAATCGAAAACCGATGAAATAACAAATAATTATTATTAATCCGTTTTTTAGCTAACAAATGGGCCTCCGCTATTTATTTCTATTGGCCCAACTTAATAATTATGTTCTTCAATATTGGCACATTTGCGATTTTGTCACTGCGCATCTATCGGGTGCGACGAGATGTGGCACAGTTAACACAAAAACAAAGGTTCTTCAAAGAAAAGTAAGTAGACTTATAATCATTGAAAGCATAGATGTGCTTTAGTCCTTGATACAAAAAAATATATTTAAAAAATCCGCCCCCATAGATCCTTTAATCCTTTATAAAAATATTTAAATATCAATATTTAAAATCCATTTCAGTGCCGTTGTAATTTTACGCCTCTTTATTGTTATGGGCATCTCCTGGATTATGGACATCATTTCGTTTTGCCTTCGAAATTATAAAATTGCCGATTATTGTTTCTTTATAACCGATTTCTGTAATGCCATTCAAGGTGTTGTGATTTTCATACTTTTCGTCTTAAAACGCAATGTCCTGGAGGCCATACGAAAGAGGTATGTAAATTCTATCGCATGTGATGTTATGAATACAATTAATTTTTTTTTTCACTTTCAGTTTTGCACCCTACTATGTCAGAAGGCCCAGACCAAGTGTTACCTCAGTATCAACACACTTTTCAAAACTTTCATCATCGCATTCAACAACAAATGCCTAAGACTTTGGAAAATTTTCGGGAAATTTATATGAAAAAAATTTCGGCATATGTACTCAATTGTGTTTCTTAAAGTATTATAATAATTTGGTGCTATATTATTTTTAAATATATTGTTAACAAAAAATATAAACTTTCAAAAATAAATATAAAATTGGATTTTTTAAAGAATATTTTTTCAAGGACCTACACAAGGCGTAGATTTTTTAAAGAATATTTTTTCAAGAACCTACACAAGGCGTGGATTTTTTAAAGAATATTTTTTCAAGGACCTACACAAGGCGTGGATTTTTTAAAGAATATTTTTTCAAGGACCTACACAAGGCGTGGATTTTTTAAAGAATATTTTTTCAAGGACCTACACAAGGCGTGGATTTTTCAAAGAATATTTTTTCAAGAACCTACACAAGGCGTGGATTTTTTAAAGAATATTTTTTCAAGGACCTACACAAGGCGTGGATTTTTTAAAGAATATTTTTTCAAGGACCTACACAAGTCGTGGATTTTTCAAAGAATATTTTTTCAAGGACCTACACAAGTCGTGGATTTTTTAAAGAATATTTTTTCAAGAACCTACACAAGGCGTGGATTTTTTAAAGAATATTTTTTCAAGAACCTACACAAGGCGTGGATTTTTTAAAGAATATTTTTTCAAGGACCTACACAAGGCGTGGATTTTTTAAAGAATATTTTTTCAAGGACCTACACAAGGCGTGGATTTTTTAAAGAATATTTTTTCAAGAACCTACACAAGGCGTTGGTTTTTTAAAGAATATTTTTTCAAGAACCTACACAAGGCGTGGATTTTTTAAAGAATATTTTTTCAAGGACCTACACAAGGCATGGATTTTTTAAAGAATATTTTTTTCAAGGACCTACACAAGTCGTGGATTTTGTAAAGAATATTTTTTTCAAGGACCTACACAAGGCGTGGATTTTTTAAAGAATATTTTTTCAAGGACCTACACAAGGCGTGGATTTTTTAAAGAATATTTTTTCAAGTACCTACACAAGGCGTGGATTTTTTAAAGAATATTTTTTCAAGGACCTACACAAGGCGTGAATATTTTAAAGAATATTTTTTCAAGGACCTACACAAGGCGTGAATTTTTTAAAGAATATTTTTTCAAGGACCTACACAAGGCGTGAATTTTTTAAAGAATATTTTTTCAAGGACCTACACAAGGCGTGGAGTTTTTTAAGAATATTTTTTTAAGAACCTACACAAGGCGTGGATTTTTTAATGAATATTTTTTCAAGAACCTACCACAAGGCGTGGATTTTTTAAAGAATATTTTTGAGGACCTACCACAAGGCGTGGACTTTTTAAAGAATATTTTTTCAAGAACCTACACAAGGCGTGGATTTTTTAAAGAATATTTTTTCAAGGACCTACATAAGGCTAGAACTATTAAATTTTTAAAGAATATTTTTTCAAGGACCTACATAAGGCTAGAACTATCAAATTTTTAAAGAATATTTTTTCAAGGACCTACATAAGGCTAGAACTATAAAATTTTTAAAGAATATTTTTTCAAGGACCTACATAAGGCTAGAACTATAAAATTTTTAAAGAATATTTTTTCCAGAACTATTAAAGGCGATGAATTTTTATACCCTATGTTGTCAGGGTATTACTGCTTTGTGCAGCCCCAAGAGTTTGTAACGTCGCGAAATATTGGTCCTAGACCCACCTTTAAGTATACCGATCGTCATATCTCGACTAGGTGAATCGATCTAGACATGTGTGTCCGTCCGTCCGCCCATTATAAATTGTAAACACGATACAGGCCACAGTTATGGACCAATCTTCACGAAATTTTGCATGTAGGAAGGGTTCTGGCCAATGAAGACCCCTACTGCTTTGGAAAATATCGGTTAATATTTAGGTGATGAAATGGACCAAAAACTTTATTTGTCGGTTTTTCTGGTCGCTCCAGAGGCCACAATTATGGGCCAAACATCGGGCCAAAGAATAAGCATGCTTGTTTTGATAAAAATCGGTCAATATTTAGCGGGTCAAATGGACCCAGACTTTTGTGTGAGAAATGATAAAATTTGTATTCTATAGCGTATATATTTACTCCTGAAGGACATAGACCCGAGAAGTTGATATTATATCCTAGAGGAGTGGTTGGCCTTTAAATTGATACCAATTACATTGTTGGATGTGCTCAGATATGGGAGTTATATATAATGTGACTATGTGCATAGTATTACTATTACTCCATTAGAGGGCGGAAATGCCGCGCTGATCGTGCTAATTGTAAAGGAAGCTACATTTATGGTCAAGGACGACGCCTATAGTTTTCGGTGAAATTGAGATTTCATTCAGGGGGTGCAATGAACGGAAAACTTTAATTTTGTTAGATTTTCTAGTCGCTCTAGAGGCAATTTTTATATGCAGAACATCACATAATTTACAAGGTGAAGAAGATGTGACCAAATAGTTATAGCGGCTGTTTAGATGATGATCGGTCAATATTCAGAGAGTCAAATCAACCAAAACCTAAAGTGAAAAGTTTTTTATTTTATGGCGTAAAAATTCACTTCAAGAAAAAAATTGGAAAATTTGCCAGGGCTAGAAAGCGAAGCTGTTGACCTATAATCGATCAAGAGGGTGCAAATATCACGAAATATTGCCCAGTTTCAGAATATAGAACCGCAGAAAGTTAGAGTTCCGTAGAAGTTGTGTTGCGTATCATATGGTCTTCCCCGTCCGACTATACTGCTCCGCTCACTGGTTAAAAAATATTTTTCCAGAAATATTAAAGGCGATGAGATTTAAAAAAATATTTTAAGGACTGTCAGAAGCTTGGATTTTTAAAGAATATGTTTAAAGACTATCAGAAGCGTGGATTTTTTAAAGAATATTTTTAAGGACTATCAGAAGCGTGGATTTTTTTAAGAATATTTTTAAGGAATATCAGAAGGTTAGATTTATATATATATATATATATATATATATATGGAATATATATTTTTTTTAAATATTTTTAAGGAATATCAGAAGGTTGGATTTATATATATTTTTTTAATATTTTTAAGGACTGTCAAAAGTTTGGATTTTTTAAAGAATATTTTTAAGGACTGTCAGAAACTTGAATTTTTTAAAGAATATTTTAAAGGATTTTGGATTTTTTTAATGATTTTTGTTTTCAAGAAATCTTGACACATCTGTTTATTTCTCAATTATTTTCAAATTATTAAGAAATCTATGTCACTGATATTATTTTTTATCATTCGAAGTATATGAGTATGTAGGTTTTTTCTCTCAAATTTTGGTTTGTGGTTTTCTTAACTCTTTGTCTTTATTGAAAAAGAAACTTAAAATAAATACATACAAATTAATTTGTCACATTCCAAGCCACTCTCGAAAGATGGTTGAAATCAGTTTTTAAATATATTTTGAAACCCAAACGAAGTGGATGAGGTCATAATGAATTTACACAAATCGATCTTACATCTCTGCATCGGTCTATTGCTAATTACAACTTCCAAAATTACAGCAAATGCTGAAAATATTCAAAATAATCGCGAAAAATGTGCCTTCAAAGATACCGTGGATTTAACGAATATTAAACCATTGGATAATGGTTCCTATGTTTATAACAATATAATAATTGATGAGAAAAAATTAGCTCAATATGATTATCGTCTGATGGCAAATAATCGACGTGTTAAATCGGAATTACATTGGCGTGCCTGTGTTTGTGATTCGTCGAAATATTGTGTAAAAATTTGCTGTCCATGGGGTGAATTTTTCAATGAAGTTTCATATAAATGTGAAAGAATCGCCGATGAGCTGAATGTGCCAACGGAAATGGAAATTTATTCACTTAACGATGCGGAACGGATGGTGAATATTTATGAACATTTTGTCTATCAAATTGGATTGCCCTGCCAACATCCTGAAAGCCTGACAATGGATGGAGATCAATGGCAGCTAATGGAGGTATGTAATCCAAAAATTAAAAGGTGAACGGGTTAATCAAGGAATATCGGTAAAATAATAATAAAGCGTAACATACTTAAGAGTTACATCCCTCATTGAAAATATTAAGGACTTTGAGCAATGTGCATGCTATATTACAACTAAAATAATAATATGACACTAAATGAACTTAAGATAATGGTTATGACTCATTTTTTGTAGTTTTAATTTGTTTATGAACCACAGAATAACATAATTATTTTTGTATTAAAATATGGTTATAGAAATTTATAAACCGCAAGCTATTTCGAATTGGATAAACATAAATACATCTACATATATATTTTGATAATAAATTGTGATATGAGACTGACAGAAAATCTGTGTCTTCTTCAAATCGATCATTTTTAAATTTTACAACTGAAATTTAAAGTGAAAAAAATTCTGTGAGAATATTTTTGTTTTAATTGTGAGAACGGCTGTTTAGAGCTTCTATCTGATGTCCTTTGAATTTTCTAAGATTTTTTGTTATACCTTCTATGAAAACCAGTTTTTTATTTTCAATATGAAGATAGCAACAATCTTCAATGTGAGGAACACTTGTCTCCGATGAGAAAGATTGCTGGTCTTCAATTCGGGCCTGGTCTTGAAAATATATACCTTTGAATCTTAAATGGGAATACCTTTTCATTTCCAAGGAGTCTTCAAATTGAATTTCTTCAGGCAGAAAATGTTCAATGTTCGAAATACATTCCCAATTTTAACCAGTAAGGAAAGTAGTAAAGTCGGACGGGGCCGACTATATGATACCCTTCACCACTATGGGTGTATTAAAAAGATGTATCCTAACAAAAGGACCATTAACGTGAAATTGGGCCATTAACGTGACCTTTATCTAAATGTGAATCGACTTAGATCATAAACAAATTTAGACTAATTTAGGCACGTTTTGTTCCTAATGGACATATTTTGGATCCTACTAAAAATCGGACGAAACTTTAGGGGAGCTATATCTAAATTTGGACGGATTTTAACAAAACACACACGCTCGGCTATACTATTTTAAGTA